CTCTCCCTCTCTCTCCCTCCCTCTCCCTCTCTCCCTGTCTCTCCCTGGGGCTAATGAGTGAAGAGTCATTTCCATGTTGCAAGGGTGACCTCACGGTCATTGCTTCAGCAAGAATTTTGGCAGACGTGACACACGGGACAGCAAGGTTCTGCAGCTTCTAATCCAAGGCATACATGTCATAACATGTGTGGCTGCATGTTACACATGTGCACAGGCATGAGGAGTAAGGCAGACCCACACACGCTGCGTTTATACTCTGCAAGTTAGGTCACCTTTACAAATAAAATGTTAGCTGTCCTCTGACCGCCGGCAGCCCTCCAGGTCTGAGGCTGCTCTCCCCTCGGCCTCCCCGGAACCAGCCTCTGCTCCCTCCTTCCCCTGGGAGGTCCTGCCTCGGAACTCTGCACACCTGCTGTGATTTTACCTTCCACCTAACACCCTTCCCCGTCCCCCCACCTTTCAGAACTCACCATACATCCTCCACACTGGCAACCTCCCTGTTCCCTGTGTCTCTGGAACTTCAGCTCTTCCAGAAAAACCCAGCTACCTCCCTAGCCGCCTGACAATACAAAGTTATCTCTGGGGCATTCACTCTGCAAAAATGCCTACTTTTATGATTCTCCTGCAAAAGACGGAAGTCTTTGTTTCTGGGACATTGGGTGTATCTGTTATCTATGCCACGTAACAAAATGCCACAGACGTGGCAGCTCAGAACAGCTCACCTAAATTATCTCATCATGTCAGGGGGTCAGGAGGCTGGGCAGGGTGTGACAGGGTCTCACCAGGCTGCAACCAAAGTGTCGTCTGGTCTGAGTTCCTCCCTGGACCTCAGGATCTTCTTCTAGGCTCACATGGTTGTTGGCAGAATCTACTTGAGGTTGCAGGTTTGAGGCTCTGAGTTTCTTGCTGGCTGTTGGGGAGGGGACACTCTCGGGTCCTAGAGGCCACCCCCAAGTTCTGGCCCCACAGATTTCTCCCAACACAGCAGCTAAATTCCAATGCTATTTCTGGAGCGGGACACATGTTAACCTGTTTTTTTTGTTGTTTTGTTTTGTTTTGAGACAGAGTCTCACTCTGTTGCCTGGGCTAGAGTGCCGTGGTGTCAGCCTAGCTCACAGCAACCTCAAACTCCTGGGCTCAGGGATCCTCCTGCCTCAGCCTCCCAAGTAGCTGGGACTACAGGCATGCGCCACCATGCCCGGCTAATTTTTTCTATATATTTTTAGTTGTCCAGCCAATTTCTTTCTATTTTTAGCAGAGACGGGGTCTCGCTCTTGCTCAGGCTGGTCTCGAACTCCCGACCTTGAGCGATCCTCCCGCCTCGGCCTCCCAGAGTGCTAGGACTACAGGTGTGATCCACCGCGCCCGGCCAGACGTTAGCCAGTTTAGAAATTACTTTATGCTCTCGGTGGTCAGCCGGAAGATAACCGGGCGTCTTCTTTCATTTTGCAGTGGAGTTTTTGTATTGCGACCTGGCTTCTTTGACTTCCATCCGGCAGTTTGTGGAGAAGTTCAAGATGAAGAAACTCCCTCTGCATGTCCTCGTCAATAATGGTGAGTTGTGGCGAGATCGCCGCAGCCAGGGGTTGATGTCGGCGGGGTCGGATCTCCAGTGTTTGTGGGAGGAAAGCGCTTCGCAGCCCCTGTGGGGGTGGGAGAACATCTGTGCTATCCGTAGCCACTGCCTCATGTCATTGGTGCGTGGGCTTCCGTGACGTGCGTCATGCCACTCGGAATACGGTTTGTGGTGGGTACAGGGGTGCGCTCGCTATGGGATGATTGGCTGGGATAACACATTGCGATTTCTTCCTGTCATGTGTTTACCTTCCAAGACGGAGCCCAGGCTGTGGCCGCCCTCAGCTCTGCAGAGGTTTGTGTGGCCGCGGTGGGGGGGTCCCTTGTCGGCAAAGCCTCTCGGTTCTCTTGTATGCAACAGAACCGTGATGCTCCTGGAAAAACCACAGGCTCGGATGGGGCATCCCGGGGCACCCAGGGTGGACGGAAGGCGGCCGGGACAAACACTCCCCACACCAGAGGTGACCAAGACGTAGAATGGACTCACCACCAGCCCAGGGAGCTGGGGGGTTTGGCCCCGGTTCCTTTGTTTTAAGGGAGTTGAGGGTTTTTTTGTTTGTTTTTTTGCTTCCTTTTTTGGTTGGGGTTTCTTCTTGTTTTTTTGCAAAGGCTGTTTGGGTTTTGTTTTTTTTTTCCCTTGCGGTTTTCACCTTCGTTGGTTGGTTTTTCGGCTTCCGGTTTTCGGGTTGGGCCCTTGGCATTGGCTTTTTTGGTTTTGCACCGGGGGGACCGGTCTTTGCGGGGTTTCCCAAACTTGGTTTTCTTCCAAACTTCTTTTTACCGGTTCCGTTTTTTTAGTTTTCTTGGAAACCACCCCCGGTTGGGGGCCCCGGGGTTGCTTTCCGGGCCCAGGGGGGGCCCGGTTTGTTGTTTTTTTTTTAATTCTTAAGGAAGAGTGACTGAGGTTCTGCAAAGGTTAACCACTTCAGGTTTCAGATGTTTTCTTTTTTTCATTTGTTAGCACATTGAAAACAGAAGCAGACCACCTCCTGGCTGCGGCGGGCAGCTCAGGGGTTAACCGGATGATTTATCGAATGCAAAAATAACCAATACATGTTCTGTAGACCTCCTGGAGTGCCGGCTCAGTATGAACAGTTTATTCACATCCAAGTTATATTTCTCTAGCTTGCCATCTGCACGTCTGAACGTTGATAGATTTTGTAATAACTGCACGGGACTCACATTGTATCTTGGACAAACTCCTTTCTGTAACTCTACGGATGAATTTCCTGAGATAAAAAAAATTACTGAAAATGATTCTCCTTACCTCAAAAAAAAAAATGTTGATGGTAACCCTGAGTAGTAGCAGTGATGCTGGCCTGGCCAAGAATATACTGGTCAGTTCATCCATCCATTCATTCATGCGTTCAGTAAATGGGTGCAAAGTGCCAAGGAACCCCACGGGTGTTAGGGAAGGTTCTCTCCTCTCCGGAGAGGACCAGGCATGAGGATTTGCGCCAACAGAAATCTCAAAAGTGTGACTGCGCCAATGCACACTCAGGACTCATTTCCTGGCAGGGCAGACGCCTGGCACCTCACACCCTCACTCTGCACTTGGCGTTTGCCACCCACGCAAGGTGGCTCTGCGGGCTCCGGGCTCCCGCCTGGCAGTGCCGAGACAGGTGACTCAGCGCTCATGCCCTCACCCGAAGGTGGCCGGCTCTGCACCCGTGCAGACTGCTCCCCGCCAACCCCTTCTGTTCCTTTCTCTTCCGCAGCTCGTCTGCCGGGGGTAGCGTAGCTTTCTGTTCTGTGACGTGCCCCCTGCCTCTCCCAGCGGCGCCGCTTCTGAACAGAAGGCGCTCGGATGTTCCTTTAGCGCCACGTGTGTGTGTGGCGCCAGTTGTTGAGATCGGCTGTGATGCCAAGGCGGGCTGCTCGCTGCCGGATGAGGCTGGGTGTCGGGGATCCCGGTCCTCACCTCCGTGGGGCCGCTCTGCCTTCCCACGCCCTCGCCTGAGCTCCGGGAAGCAGGGTGAGAAACACGGTGGTTTTCAGTTTCCCAAATTCTCTCTCCCTTTCTCTCTCTGACTACCACTCTCTATTCTCCTACAAGACAGAGAACCCTCCCACACTCTCCCCTACCCGGGAGGACATCCCTGGCTTTGCTCCGCGAGGAACACCAGCACGTGGCTCCGAGTCTCAGTGTGTGTCCGCTTGCCAATCAACTGCATGGATCAACGAGCAGATAGATATCTTTTGCTGTTCGTTCTCCACTTTTCAACTGGAAAAGAGAGAGGTGCTAACATCTCACAGGTGCTCGTAACGTGGGACCGCCGTCCAAAGCGCCCACGTGACGGCAGTGTTCGTTTATCCGTTATTAAAAAACACAAATGCAGTGTTGCAGTGTGTTGGCTAACAGTGAAAAATTCTCCTGCAGTGTGTGGCAGACACTCACCGAATAGCATCGTGTGAGTGAGGCGCGGTACCCAGAGATGCACGTGTTTGCTCTCACACGATCGTGGATTAGGAATGCCGAGGGCCACGTGGAGATTTCAGCACAGCCTCCCTGGTGTGGGAATTCCCACCCAGCTCCCCGCCAAGGCGACCCCGGCACCCGCTGTATGCAGCCAGCACACGCAGTTCACCACCTGTATGCACGGCAGCAATGTTCTCTCTGCAGTTGTGAAACACGCCTTCCCCGACGATGCTGTTTATGGGAAGGGTTTGCTCAGATCCCATTGCACGATTTCCTGAGTAAACTTAACTCACACCTCACCCACGACATCGTCACCGACAAACTCTCGGCGTCCAGGACCGTGGGTTTGTGCTGTAATCTGCCATCAGGGCTCTGATCAGACAGATCCCCACGGTGACATTTTGTCCTTGTAGCTAAACAGTTGCTTCCTGTTTAATTGTCTTGTAGACGATGTCTAGGAAATATACAACAGAAATGGAATGAATAGAATGTTGGAAACCCTCAGGAGATGAGTGACTCTTGTCCTTCTCTTCCCTGATTCCTGGTGTCTCAGCAGGAATGACACTCATGTGTCCAAATGACCTGATGTCACTGTCATGGGGTCAAGCTTTGGCTGGTGACATGCATCTGTCTCTTTTCTCTCTGCCCACATACACCTGTCAGAGTCTGTTGTAAGGAAGCAACATCACCAACAGCTTCTAGTGGCTTCTACTTGGTCTCCGAGACGCAAGCTCCCTCCCTTGGAATCTGTCATCTAACCACGCACTGATATTCCACTGATTACTGTGGTGGGACACACAGCTCCCAGACCTAGTGATTCCAAATAACCGTTTCACTTGGCTCTCAATCTGGGGGAAGTGCAGGAATTGGGGCAGTTCTGGCAGAGGTTGCAAGTGGTGCTGCTACAATCCGAAGGCTCCACCGGGTCCGACGTCCAGGAGAGCTCCTCCGGTGGCGGGAAGTGGGTACTGCACTACCCCTGGGCTCACCTGAGCTCACCTGGGCGGGTCGGCCAGAACTACTGCCGGTGGCCTGTGCGGTGTGGCGGGCTCAGGGTTGTCAGCCTTGGAAATCACACGGCGTTGTTACTGCTTCTGCATTCTGTAGATTACAAGAAAGTTAATGAGGACAACCAGGATTCGAGAGGGAACATAGACTCCTTCTCCCCAGGAGATAAGTGTCCAAGTGGTATATTTTCTGGCCACTTTGAGCTGGCCTTCACGCTAAACTGCACGTACATAAACCAGCTGTTCGTGTTGAGTGAGTCTCTCCTACGCTGGGGGCTCCTGAACAGGGAATTTATAATCCTTTAGGCATGGAGTAAACTCTGTTTCTTCTTACTTCTGCACACTGAAATATAAAGAAATATAAAGAAAATGGCATTGTGAAAGAAATGTTTACATTTTATCAAAATGCCATACTTCACATCCCCATTAAACAACCAATTCTCGTATTTGGGGTTTTTTTTTCTTTTTTTTTTGTGAAATAACTCTTAAGGCTGACCCCAAAAGTGTGTTGTTAGATGCATTTTAGTGACTGCAGGTGTTTTAAATACACATTTTATTGAATGGTTAATGCACATGTGTCTTGGTTTTCTGGTTTCTATCGGACTGCTGCTTGTTGCTCTACACTGGTGATGTTCCACAGTTATAAGCTCAGGGGATAAATTCTGAATATCCTGGGGTGTCTTTTTTTAGAGAGCCAGCTATTAAGGTAGGAGGTGAGAAGCACTAAAGTTTGTACAGGTCAGAACTGTGGGGGTCATTTCTACCTGCACAGCACGATACTGGGGCCGCAGAGGCTGCAGCCCGAATCAGACATTGCTTTGCTCTGAGCAATGCGTGAGCAGAGGAGCCCATGGGGCATCCCTCATGGCCCGGGGGGACGGGTGTCCAGGACGCCTGTGTGGCCAGGCAGGGCCCTCACGGCACAACTGGGGAAACTGTCTACACAGACACAAATGCATAGATACGGGGAATACTTAGAGAGATGGGTACGTGTGCAGATACACAAATACAAATACACACAGAAACATATATACATTTGTCTCTCTTTATGTATCTCCATATAAAATACACAGGCATATCAACACGAACACACATACATAGAGAGGAATACATAGGGAGATGGGTACGTGTGCAGATACGCAACTGCAAATACACAGAGAAATACAAGCACATTTATATATATATATGTACATATAAAATACATACAAACATGCACACATGCAAATGCACGTACATGGAGAAATGTATGCAAATGCACGTACATGGAGAAATGTATACAAAAATGGGTGCATGTACAGATACACGAATATTACACATACATACGCATATATATCCCCAAATAAAATATACACACACATGAACATACATATAAGCACATATACAAATGCATATACATAGACACATATATAGATGTGCACATATAAGACACATATACAAATATATGTACAAATGCAAATGCATAGCCATATAAAAATACATAAACAAGCACATCTATATATGCAAATGGATATGTCTGTGTATATCAATCATACATGTATAAAAATGCATTCGCAAATGCAAATATATACAGAAATACAAAAACATGGGTGTATGCAAACTCAAAATGCTTGTCTATGCATGCAGTTTGTATGAAGACATATTCATATGCATAAATAACTATAAACACTCTGCCTATGTAGATGTATAAACATATGCAAAACTTGTTCTCATAGTTACAAACAGAAACGTATACACTATATGCAGATATGCACGCAAACACATGGAAATAAGTATACACGTGCATATACCAGTGAATACACATGCATACATGCACATTCAGCCATGTACATACATTTATGCAATAACAAATGTGTATACAAATTCGTATGCATATGCAAATGTGTGAACACATATGTATACATGCAACCATGTACGTGTATAAGTGTATATGTTTGAATAAATTGTGCATATACGCAGATACACATGCAAGTGCACACCAGTGTAAACACATACACAAGTGCATATGTGTGTATATATACATGCACCATATACATGCAGATACACACAGAATTCCATATGCATGCATAACTCACATAAATACACATATATCCACCAGTGCGTATACATGTGCATACAAATACACACACATACGCATAAGCACTTACATCCAAGCAAGCTGGCCTGCTCTGAGCCTGAGACAGTGTGGCCCAGGCATGTTTCTTGGACGAGTCATCTTTGAGGTCAGAGCCCTGGGGATGGGACTTTGGGGCAGGGGTGTAACTGGCTTTGCCTGACCGGGGAGGGGTGCCTGCGTCTGGGAGCAGAGCATGCCAAGTACACAACATGCTTTGACAGTTATGTTCATAGAATCCTGGCTGGTGGGGCTGGCGGGGGCTGGGGTGAGGTCTGGCTCTGCTCACACTTGGTCCAGCCTTTCCCGGAGGATGCCTGAGGACTCTGTGGGACACTCGGCGGAGGCCGTGGTGCCGCGGCAGTGCCCTGGGCAGCTGTTCTTGCCCGGGAGACTTGACTTCCCGGGGACGCCGTTTGGTGACTCCGAACAGTCTCCGGGTCCGGCGTGTGCTGCTCCGTTATCGTTGTTGTTTTATTCTACGATTCGAGGCATGGAAGTGCAGAGACAAAGCAGGGAGGGACATCAGTGGCCCCTGAGAGCCTCCCCCGCCACACACAAGGCGGGAAACCGAGGCCCAGGAGGGCGAGACGCAGCCGGAGCTGGACCCCTCCCCTCTGGGCAGCCGGGGCCGTGTCTGCGTCCCTGGAATCCGCCTGCGCGACTTCTCTGCCTCCTCATCTGGTCCGACGCTCCCTGAGATTCTCCTTCTCTTCCCAGCTGGGGTCATGATGGTTCCGGAGAGGAAGACCCAGGACGGGTTTGAAGAACATTTCGGCTTGAACTACCTTGGGCACTTCCTGCTCACCAACCTCCTGCTGGACACCCTGAGAGCGTCCGGATCCCCCGGCCGCAGCGCCAGGGTGGTCACCGTGTCCTCAGCCACGCATTACGTCGGCGAGCTGAACATGGACGACCTGCAGAGCAGGTGGGGCCCATCCTGTGCGTGTCCCTAACGACGCTCCCGGAGGGTGGAAGGTCGCCCACCTCCCTGCGTTGCCCGGCACGGTATTCGGGGGGCGGGTAATGGCGGCACACATCGCCGAGCATTTGTGTCGCGTCTTAGGGTGGCTTAGCTCTGTGCAATGACATCATTTTATCTTCTGGAGAGAGACAAGGAAGTCAGAAGTCAGATGGAGAGAAGCACAAAAGATAGAGTTAAACATCCTCTTCTGTACCCCATTGTGCATGTCACCTGCTAAATGCATAGGTGGCATTGCCGTTGGCTTTTGGTGGCATGTGGTTCACTGTTTTCTAATCGGTGGGTCGCTTCTAACACTTGCGGATTCCTTCTAACACTTCCTTAAGGATAAAAGAGATCACTCCGTGTGAAGGGGTGTCTTAGTCCATTTGAGCTGCTGTAACAAAACAGGGTGGATTAAATAATCGACATTTGTCGCTCCCAGCTCTGGAGGCTGGAAGTCCGAGATCCCGGCGTGGTAGAGGCTGTGTCTGGTGGGGACTCACTTCCTGGTTCATAGATGGCGCCTTCTCGCTGTGTCCTTACATGGTGGAAGGGGTGAGGGAGCTCTCTGGGGTCCCTTTTATAAGGACACTGATCCCATCCATGAGGCTTCACCCTCAGGACCTCGTTACCTCCCAAAGGCCCCACCTCCCAACATCATCACCTTGGGGGTGAGGATTTCAACACAGGAATTTTGGGGGCACACAGACGTTCAGACCGTAGCAGTAGGACTCGTATCTGTATCTCTCTGTATGCGTGCAGCGCTGATTTTGCAAAGCATTAACACCGCGCTTGGAAAGAGCTGAGTGCTTGGCAGTGCAGGGCTCAGATCTGGGGAACAGCCTCTGGGATTTCCAGCAGGGTGGGCACCCTTGTCATCTCAGCCCCAGAACGCTGAGTCCTGAAAAGAGGTGAGCCCAGCCGTGCAGGACCTTGAGAGTTGACTCTTCCCACGCAGCGTGGGGCAGGCTGGAAGGACAGGAGGTCTGTGGGGGTTTCTGAGGACACGTTTGTCCATCTGCTTAAACAAGTTGAGCTCCTGTGTGTACGAGGTCCCTGCGTAGGGCCGTGTGATGAGGGAGGCGGCCTCGCTGGCATTCCCTGTGCAGGGCAAACACCGTGGGGACGTGGCAAGGGAGGAAGCACGGCCCCGAGACACCTTGATTTTGGGTTTCTGACCTCCACGCCATGACGGCGTACACTCCTGTGATACTGAGCCACCGAGTCTACGGTCACCGAGTCTACGGTTGTGAAGGCAGCCCCAGGAACATTGCTCTGATTGCAGAGTGGACAGAGAGGCTTGGAAATTGGAGGGGTTGAGACGCTGAGGCTGTTCTAACACTTGTTCCCTGTGTGGTCCTGTCCACGTGCCTGCAGCTTCTACGCCTTTTTCTTTGAATCCACTCAGGTATAATGTGAGGGTTGTAACCTCAGACTCTCAGGCATCAGGAAGTGGTCTAGGGAAACTGAACACCCGACACTTGGCGAGGTCCTCCCCGAACATCTGTCCCCTCATGTTGCACACACACACAACCCAGCGATTAACATGCGGCTAATTCTTCTACGTCCATCACAGTAAAAGGAGACACATAGTCAATGTGGCTTCTGCTATTTAGGACAATAAAATAAATAGCATGTCTCTGTATATTGGCTTGTCTCGGGGACACTCAGATGGCCCTGGAACATTAAAAACAAGAAAATAGATTTTTCTGGGGAGACATTTCGGGTGGAAGTTTGTCAGTCCAGAGAATCACCAGCCACCAACCCACAGAGGTGAGATCAGCGCGCACCTACTGGCTCTAAGACCCTTTACGAAAAGAGGTCATTGCCACTGGCAGACAGAGCCAGAAGGACCCCTGCCAGGTGGGAAATCAGCCGTGATTTGAAGTGTACAGTGCGACGCCTTCCGGGTGAATGGCCGGAGACAATAGGGCAAAGTGGAGGAACGTTACCTTGGTCACTCGAGGGGACAGGGAACACCAGTTTTCCTGAACGATACACATGTGCTGTGATGGTGAAAAGGCCCTTCACTAGCTAAAGGTGTAAATTTAGAGGATTAGAAATATAGCCCAGGGGTGTAACAGCAGTGATGGACCATCCGAACTTCTGAACCAGGCTGCAGGAGACAGAGTAACAGTCTCCAGAGATGACCACATCCTAATCCCATGTGGTAGACAGAATAATGTCTCCAAAGATGTCCATATCCGAATCCCCATGGGATAGACGGAATAATGTCCCCAGAGATGTCCACGCCCTAATCCCATGTGGTACACAGAATAACGTCCCCAAAGATGTCCATGTCCTAATTCCATGTGGTAGACAAGAATAATGTCCCCAAAGATGTCCACATCCTAATCCCCATGGGATAGACAGAATAATGTCCCCAGAGATGTCCACGCCCTAATCCCATGTGGTAGACAGAATAATGTCCCCAAAGATGTCCACGTCCTAATCCCATGTGGTAGACAGAATAATGTCCCCAAAGATGTCCACATCCTAATCCCATGTGGTAGACAGAATAATGTCCCCAAGGATGTCCATGTCCTAATCCCATGTGGTAGACAGAACAATGTCCCCAAAGATGCCCATGTCTAATCCCATGTGGTAGACAGAATG